TACTAAGGAATTCTTTAAAATTTTAAATAAACTTCGTGTGGATTCCTATAAGAAATTGATGGGAATTCCGAACGGAATTTTGGAGGAAAAATTTTTTTAAAAATATATTCGCCTACTTTTCCGACCGAATATTGCGGGGTATTCGTGCGAATTACTAAGGAATTCTTTAAATAAACTTTGTGTGGATTCCTATAAGAATTTGATAGGAATTCCGAACGGAATTTTGGATGAAAAATATTTTTAAAAAAATATTCGCCCACTTTTCCGAACGAATAGTGCGCGGTAGTCGTGCGAATTACTAAGGAATTCTTTATATAAACTTCGTGTGGATTCCTATAAGAAATTAATAGGAATTCCGAACGGAATTTTGGATGAAAAATTTTTTTAAAAAAATATTCGCCCACTTTTCCGAACGAATAGTGCGCGGTAGTCGTGCGAATTACTAAGGAATTCTTTATATAAACTTCGTGTGGATTCCTATAAGAAATTGATAGGAATTCCGAACGGAGTTTTGGCTGAAAAATTTGTTTAAAAAAATATCCGCCCTCTTTTCCGACCGAATAGTGCGCGGTAGTCATGCGAATTACTAAGGAATTCTTTATATAAACTTCGTGTGGATTCCTATAAGAAATTGGTGGGAATTCCGAACGGAATTTAGGCTGAAAAATATTTTTAAAAAAATATTCGCCCACTTTTCCGAACGAATAGTGCGCGGTATTCGTGCGAATTACTAAGGAATTCTTTAAATAAACTTCGTGTGGATTCCTATAAGAAATTGATGGAAATTCCAAACGGAATTTTGGATGAAAATTTTTTTTAAAAATATATTCGCCTACTTTTCCGACCGAATATTGCGTGGTATTCGTGCGAATTACTAAGGAATTCTTTATATAAACTTCGTGTCGATTCCTATAAAAAATTGATAGGAATTCCGAACGGAATTTTGGATGAAAAATTTGTTTAAAAAAATATCCGCCCACTTTTCCGACCGAATAGTATGCAGTATTCGTGCGAATTACGAAGGAATTCTTTAAAATTTTAAATAAACTTCGTGTGGATTCCTATAAGAAATTGATGGGAATTCCGAACGGAATTTTGGCTGAAAAATTTGTTTAAAAAAATATCCGCCCACTTTTCTGACCGAATAGTGCGCGGTAGTCGTGCGAATTACTAAGGAATTCTTTATATAAACTTCGTGTGGATTCCTATAAGAAATTGATGGGAATTCCGAACGGAATTTTGGATGAAAAATTTGTTTAAAAAAATATCCGCCCACTTTTCCGACCGAATAGTATGCAGTATTCGTGCGAATTACGAAGGAATTCTTTAAAATTTTAAATAAACTTCGTGTGGATTCCTATAAGAAATTGATGGGAATTCCGAACGGAATTTTGGGTGAAAAATTTTTTTAAAAAAATATTCTACCACTTTTCCGAACGAATAGTGCGCGGTAGTCGTGCGAATTACTAAGGAATTCTTTATATAAACTTCGTGTGGATTCCTATAAGAAATTGATAGGAATTCCGAACGGAATTTTGGCTGAAAAATTTGTTTAAAAAAATATCTGCCCACTTTTCTGACCGAATAGTGCGCGGTAGTCGTGCGAATTACTAAGGAATTCTTTATATAAACTTCGTGTGGATTCCTATAAGAAATTGATGGGAATTCCGAACGGAATTTTGGATGAAAAATTTGTTTAAAAAAATATCCGTCCACTTTTCCGACCGAATAGTATGCAGTATTCGTGCGAATACCGCGCACTATTCGGTCGGAAAAGTGGGCGAATATTTTTTAAAAAAAAATTTTCGGCTAAAATTCCTTGCGGATTTCCTATCAATTTCTTATAGGAATCCACACGAAGTTTATTTAAAGAATTTGTTAGTAATTCGTACGAATACCGCGCACTATTCGGTCGGAAAAGTGGGCGAATATTATTTTAAAAAAATTTTTCACCCAAAATTCCGTTCCGAATTCCTATCATTTTCTTATAGGAATTCACACGAAGTTTATTTAAAGAATTCCTTAGTAATTCTTACGAATACCGCGCACTATTCGGTCCAAAAAGGGGGCGAATATTTGTTTAAAAAAAATTTTTCAGCCAAAATTCCTTGCGGATTTCCTATCAATTTCTTATAGGAATCCTCACGAAGATTATTTAATGAATTTGTTAGTAATTCGTACGAATACCGCGCACTATTCGGTCGGAAAAGTGGGCAAATATTTTTTAAAAAAATTTTTTCATCCAAATTTCCGTTCGGAATTTCTATCAATTTCTTATAGGAATCCGCACGAACTGTTCTTAAAATATTCGTTAGCAATTCGCACGAATACCGTACGAAATTCGGTCGGAAATTTGAGTGAAAATTTTTTTGTATTCGTTTTTCTTATCAAAGTCGCACGAATTCCGATTAAATTATGGACGAATTCTGTTTCAAATCGCCACACGGCGTTTTCCAGAATTCGACAGGAAATCTGAACGAATTCTAAACGAATTCTTAAGGAAATTTGGACGAATTCCGGACGAATTCCACACGTCATTCGTGAGGATCATTTTCACCTGGGTTTAGTAGGGAAAAAGTTATACGTAAACCAAAAAAATATTGCTGAAATTTGTCATTGTAAATATCTCGAAAAATATTAAAAATTTCAAATTCAAAATGTGTACACTTATTTAGCACCACTATCACTACAATTTACCGAATTTTGAGAAAAATCCGAGACATGACCCTGTATTCTCATATGAAATGCCTCAATTATTAACTCTAATTCATATTTAGACCAAAACAATTCGTTTTTTTACATAGCACGCATATTTAAAAATTATAATTTGTATAATTTCCCATTTTTAAATTTAATTACTTATATTAAAAAAATTAATTAAAACTTAACATAATCCTAAAATTTACTTGGCTAACATTCATTTCACGAATTGTTTCAATGGTTAAGATAATTTTTGATTAGCGTAACTTTTTGCATCGAAGATTTTTTTGTTGGTTTGTTTATAAAATAAATTATTAAATAATTAATTAATTAATATCTCGAAAATAACAAAGAAGGACATCTCAAGATGTTTTGTAGTAAAAAAAAAACATTTTTAACTTTCAAAAAAAAAATTAAAAAAAGACCGATCTTAAAAAAAAGTCAAAAACTTTCTTGTTTTTTTAAAAAAGGGTCAAATTTTGAATTTTTTGAAAAAAATTTTGCACCACTCGAAAGAGCATAAAAAAACCTTTCAAAAACATATAGGTCAAATTTTTATTCATCTTTTCGTTTAAAAGTTATAACTTTTCAAAAATTCACTGTTTAAATTTTTCAAAAAAAATCAATCCCTTCCCTCTCCTTCAGTTTTTAAAAAAACCTAACAATACTTCGTGATTAAAGTACTTACTTATAGGGCTAAACTATGTGCAAGTTACAACCCGATCCGACCAACATTTGTTTTTTCTAAAGGTGCTCGCTCAAGTAAAGATGGAATAGTGCGCAGCATATGATTCAAATGAATCAGAAAAGGACAGAAATATCGCTCTTTCCTTTTCCATCTCATTTGAAACACATCCTGCACTTTGAGCATACGTCAAATAGTTGCGCATATGTCGCGTCAAGAGCAGACGACAAAACCACAACCTTAAGGAACCAAATTTTTATTATCATATTCTTGTTCCCTGATGTCTAAAATATATAAATATTCATTTGTGGTAATTAAAATTAACGTATACTTTTAAAAAATTGAGTTTAAGAATATTTTAATTTTTACGATTTTTTTAAAATTTTATCAAGTTTGTCTAAATGCAATGTAATTTAAATTTTATATTCAGGTATTATTATTATACTGTTTGTTGTATATTCATTAATTTTGGTGTTTTTTTAAATAAATTAGCCTAAAGAAAATTATATAACCACGCCATATAGAAACGCAGCAACTTTATAAAATAACGTAAATTTATTTTATGTTTTATCTTTCTACTGACAGAATAGCTCAGCGACTTCAGGAAATTAAGAGTAAAATTAGTTAAACATTAAAAATTTTCCCAATAATATTAACCGTAAATTTGAAATATGAGGCAAAATTCCTGAAATGTCCGAACAAAAAATTAAAAGTTCTCGAATTTAATCCATACTTTTCTAAAATGTTGTTATTGTTGGTGAAAGTCTAAAAATCAATTATTATTGAATTTAATAAAATAGTTTTTGAATTACAACGTTTTTAATTTTTGACTTTTGAAAAAAAAATTTTTTTTCAATGTACAATATTTATAAGTAGAATGCATAAAAGTTAACATATATATAATGATTTTTAAAGCTTTTTTGACGAGCTACACGCTGTTAATAAAAATTTTTTTTTTAAATAACATTTGACCTTGAGATTCAAGGTCAAAATGTTAATTTACGTTTATCTCAAAATCGGATTTTTTAAAATTATTTTTAACTATCTCAATGGAAAGCTTGACTAATTTCCTACAAAACGTGTAATTTTCAGAGTGGGATCTTTTAAAGTTTTTGAGATATTAATTAATTAATTAATTAATGTTTATAACAAATGAAATATATTACAAACGAATAAAGTTACCGTAATTCTGAAGTTAGTAATTGAAAGTTAACGTAATTCCGCATCCAACGAGCCCTATATGAAGTATTTTGGATAAGTAGATTGTTAATAAACAATTAGTTAACATTGCAATTGTTTATAACCAATCTAATTATCCAAAATACTTCATATAGGGCTCGTTGGATGCGGAATTAGCTTAACTTTCAATTGGTTAGTTTAGATTTATGATAACTTTATTTGTTTGTAAGATATTTCATTTTTTATTGTTATTTAACTAAAATTGAACAAAAATACTTCATATAGGGCTATCTCGGTATTATATTAGTATTAATTTTACTGCAAAGCATATTTGCTGATCAGTCTTTTTGAAGCAAAGTTTCATTATTATTCTGTAAATTATATTATCATTTCTTACATAATTAAGATATGTTTCTATGAAAAGAAATTTTCTTACCGCAATCTAGAAAGACGTCTACATCACTATTATTAAAAGCTAAATGAGCAGCTCTAGATCCGAAAACATAAGCTCTAGCTCCTGGATATTGTGAAGCAACTGTTTGTTCTATGAATTTTGAAAGTAAACGTATGTGTTTTTCTGAAGCAGTTGCTGCATCGGATTGATGTAGCAAAGACTCTGATATTTCTTTAAAGTTATTGAGTAAATTCACGGCAGATTTATTCATCTCCACTACTTCATAGTCTTTGCTTTTAACTAAGTATTTATGCATTGTATTATCACAATGTTTGGTGTACGTATCTGAATTTCCATAGCATATACTTGCACATGGAAGGCAAACATCAAAACTAACTTTATCTCCTTTCTTAATCATTTTCTTCAATTGTATTGAATGCTTTTTGCTTTGTAAGTGTTCTGCAAAATCAATTTCATATTCGGATTTCATATTACACAACTGACACGAAAATCGTTGAACAATATACCAACAATTATTTAGCTGATCCAGAAATGTATTGAAATGTTCAAGATTTAATTGTTTCTGACTTTGGGCCTTTACTAAATGATTTACTTCTGAATCAATATGTTTTTTAATTATACTGTCATTATTAATGACATCTTTATTACAAGCAAAACAAAAAGTAATGTCATTGTTAACTTCTTTCATAAATTCCTTAGCTAAAGCAAGATCACTAAACTGAACTGGAAAATTTTTAAACTCACGATCACCGTCCATTAATTTTTCAAGCTTATAAGTATGATTTAAACTAAATAAATGTTCAAAAATATTTTGTAAACTGTTTGGTACCTTTATACAACAAACGAGACAGAAATTATCCTCTTCAACTTGAAGCAATAATGTGACTCCTAATAGCAAATAATTTATTTTTTCTTGAGTTGCATTAAATATATTAAATGGACCTTCTTCAAGAAATATTTTGCTGTATTCACTATTAAAGTGAATAGTGCTTCTGTTATGCTTTTTATTGTCCATTTTTGGTTTTCTTATCATTTGATTGCATAATTCATCAACAATAGTTTTAGATGCAGGCAAACAATCTGAGAGATTACTTTGTTCTAAAGATTTGTTTGAAGTGTAAAGTAGCTGATTTTCGTGCTCAACTGTGCTTAAATGATCAATCATTTTTTTATCTTCAAATATATCTTTTTTGCAAGCAGGACAATAGATGAAGGGAAAATAATCTCTTGGAAGCGTTGATAGAATATGTTTATGCTTAAGATCATGAAGATGCTGAAGTAATTCTACATCTCCACATACTGTAACATTACACACGTAGCACCTGTAAGAACACTTTGATTTTTCATCCATTGAATGTGAAACCAAGTTCAAATTATCTAAACCTTTTTGCACTTGGTCTACGCTTTCATTTTTTGGTAATACATGCATATTATTTAATCTCACTTTTTCTTTAAAATCTTTAACGCTGAGTTTGTGTTTTTTGCCTTGCGAATGTTTTATAAGATCCAGAGAACAATATGATAAATCTACCTTACACAAAGTGCAATGATATATTAAATTCCCATCATTTAATTCTTTTAAGTAAAGTAAAGAAGAAATTTTACAGTCACGTTTTGATTTAAAAATGTGTTCAGCCATAGCTTCTTTGTACCAAAAATTGCTATCACATACAAAACAGGTGAATTGAACAGGTAAAGAGATAGTGCTCGATTGACTTAGAAAATTATTTGATGAAGATACACTTTCTTTTAGTGATGGTAATGGTTTATAAAAATCTATTTTTGATAATCTTAATTCTTCTTTTTCTCTATGTTTCCGTCCAAATATATGTTCTTTGAAATTTGTTTCACAATAAAGGTGAATTTTGCATAAACTACAAAAATAACTGTTATTTCTTGATGTATCATGCTTATTAAATACCTTATTTACATGTCGCTGACCACTAATGTGTTCAATAACATGACAAAGACGTGGCATAATGCAATCACAAACATTGCAGTAATATACCCCATGGTTAACTTGCACAATTTCATTCTTTATGAGTTCTTCAAATTTCTCATCGGATAAATTTTGTAATTCTTTCTCAAATTCATTAACTATGAGTTGTCTAAATTTATTATGAGAGACATTTTTAGAATCACAGTGGTTTAAAACATCTTCATTTTTTATAGGAATTTTACACAGGTAACAATAATATCCATTTGCATCTTTTCGTATACGATGCTCAAATAGTTTTTTGAACATTTTTTAAAAAAATATTTTAATTTTTAACTCTCTTTTTTTAAGAAATTAGAAGCTGCTGTCCTGAGAAACACTAAAACATAAACAAATAGTTTAAAATTTTTAAAATGAATTTACAAAATTTGACTTGATAATTTTTTTTAAATTACATAATAAAATTCTGATTCGAATGAGAATCAAAGTAGTACATTGTGTGGCAAGGGCGGAAAATTGACAATTCCTGACCGAGTGCGAAGTTTGCAGCACAAGCGAAGCGAGGTCATAATTAACAATTCCACCCGTGTTGCACACGATATTTTTTATCCAACCTGATGATAAATAAGTATAATAATAACTAATGAAAAATATTTTATTTAATCAAAGTGACGTTACGGAAAAAATCATTTCCGCCAGCCTTGTGACATCAGCAAACTAGTATAGTTTTTTCCGCCCTTCACACATGTGAATAACAGTTTTGTAATAAAGATTTTCTGAAAGATTCAAATCAATTTTAAATGTTTCGTTATAAAAGTGTCCAAAATTTTTTCATAATTTTCGAAGAAGTACCCAGATAATTTAAAAAATTACAAATTTTTTTCGTTTATATTACAGTCGGAAAATATGTGGTTTCAAATGCAACATATTTAAATTCTATTAAAATCCGTTAAAAAGATTTGTAAATATTAATATTTACGAAAAAGCATACCAAAAAATTAAAAATGGCGTATAATATGTATGTGCATAAAAATATTTATTGTATTAGATGCTCATTGTCTCAAAACAATTTTTAGTGGAAATCCGAAATGAAAGAACGCATATTTTTATTACACACGAACAAACCAAACATTTTCGGAAACTAGGGCCCAAAAAAAGAGACCAATGTTTTGCCGTTTTGCAAGATCAGGTCATTTAACGAGTTTAGGGTTGAAAACAACCCTTAAATGAAAAATGACGAGAACATCTTTTAAAAATTAATAATTTTTATAAAACGCGGGGGTTTTCGGGGTCTCTGATTACGAATATGATGACAGATTTTCTAAATTCAAAATGGCGGATATAATATGGCGGTTGACATTTCTTAAAGTTAATTATTTTTTAAAAAACTTGGTATCCGGGGGTTTTCGGGGTCGCTGATTACGAATCTGATATCACATTTGTAAAATTCAAAATGGCGGATCCAATATGTCGGACAAAATTTTTTAAATTTAATGGAATTCACTTGAAACTTGTTAATTGGAGGTTTTGGGGGTCGCTGATTAAGAATATGATGTCAGATTTTTAAAATTCAAAATGGCGGATCCCATATGGCGGTCGAAGTTTCTAAAACTTAATTATTTTTTATGAAACTTGGTATCCGGGGGTTTTTGGAGTCACTGATTACGAATCTGATATAACATTTGCAAAAATCAAAACATAAAATGCGATAATGTTGAAGATCACAAATCTGAAATATAAATTGGAGATTTTAAATTAATGTGATTAATATCTTGTTGAAATTAACGAACAAACATTTTAGAAATTTTATTTTAAGTTATTTTTAAACTGAAAACTTCTCCATTTATTAACTGTGTTTAGAATTTATAAATTTAAAAATGGATTTTTAAAATTACAATACAATATAATTATATTAATAATATATTATTAAAATATTAATATATAATATATACCAAGTTTCATAAAAAATAATTAAGTTTTAGAATCTTCGACCGCCATATTGGATCCGCCGTTTTGAATTTTAAAAATCTGTCATCATATTCGTAATCAGCGACCCCGAAAACCCCCGGATACCAAGTTTTATAAAAAATAATTAACTTTAAGAAATGTCAACCGCCATATTAGATCCGCCATTTTGAATTTAGAAAATCTGTCATCATATTCGTAATCAATGACCCCGAAAACCCCCGCGTACTAAGTTTCATAAAAATTATTAATTTTTAAAAGATGTTCTCGTCATTTTTCATTTAAGGGTTGTTTCAATATTTTATCCTATGCAAATTGTATAAACAAATAAATTTTGTAGGTTTCAAATCTTTTTCTTGAATATTAATATCTCATCTTTCAGAAAGTACAATTAATAATATTATTTTAATTATTTAAATGATAATTAATTCTTTTTTTCAAGAGATGTATATTTAAGTGGACAAACGTTCTTAATCCTTCGAGGTCACACTTCGTTTTTCGATCGCGGAGGTCACACTGGTTAGTTTCCATCCTTAGTCATTTTTAAGTGGCTGTAATTTGGAAATGGTTAATTTACACAAACCAGAAAAATTTGTGGATACATTTCAATGCTTTAAAAAGCAAAGTTTAACTCGCACTTTACCAATTTTTTCACAATTTTTACAATTACTTCTTACACCGGAAAATAATTAAACTACAACAAAATTATAGCTAATAAGTTAAGTGTTCAAATGGGATTAGCGATGTTTTATAAATATTAATAATAATAATAATATACTTTAATATAATAATGAATTTATCCCTTGGTGTAATGAATAGTAAAGGAAAAAAATTTAACAATCCATCCAAGTCAAGTAGTCAGTAAAATAAAAGAAATTATTTTTTACGTTTCGACAGCACTGCTGTCCTCATCAGAAACGAAAAAAAATAAACTATAAAATTGTCATCTTGAAGTTAAGACGTCAAAAGACAAACTACACACACCCCATTCTTCCCTTCTTTAATATTTAAGGTAAAAGCGAAATAAATTAAATTTTTTTATTCCAATATAACAAATTATTTTCTGAAATATTTTTTTTAAAGCTAGTCGCCATGCAATAGCCAGTAAGTTGAAGAAAATTTCTGATCAGTTTTATGAAAATCAGTTAAAAATTGTCTTAGCTGCATTGCACGGCGTGACAAAAATCGCGTTTAAAGTTTTCAATACAATAAAGTAGTGTTTAAACTTTTTCCTTGAAGACTTTATGTGTTCGTAAATAACTATTGCACTAAACCCAAGTTTTACTATCATTTGCTAATAGTGCTTGCTACTGACAATTAATAAAATTATATTTACAAGAAAGTGAAAGAATAGAGAGATCTAGTAAGCATCGTTAACTGCGTTTGGTAGCATTTGAAGTGCTACACTTATGTATACTATAGACATTCATATTTCGATTATAAATAAATAATGTAGGATCATATATTACAGATAGTAAACTAATTTTTAATGTAACAAAAATGGAAAAAATTATTATTTATACGAGTTTACCCGCTTAAGGCGAGGGGAAATTCACTAAGGAAATCAGAAATCGGTAGATGTAGTCTCTGTAAGATTTCTTGAGATTTCTACGCGATTACCTAAGATTTCTAGGGACTGCCGGCTCGGTTACTGGCTCAACTGCCAATGACTCCTTACATACTGGTACTATGTATATTGAAATGAAATTTTGGATTAGCTTAGTAAAAATCGACTTTGATCGACTTTTATGTTTATAAGTTTATTAAATATATCAAAAACAATCACGCACTTTTTGAAAGCGCATTTAAAAAATAATTTTTTAAATCATTTTTATTCTTCTCAAGAATCTATAATATTTATAGTTTATGAAATATTAATTATTAATAGAATAAATAATCAATAAATACAACAATTTAAATGAAAAAATTATTTGTCACTAAATATAGGAATGAATTGTTTTTGAAATATATATTCGATCATATTATTGAAAACTTCTCATTTAGATAAATTATGTATAATTTTTTTAAAAATATATTTTGCTCTATTAATTGTTTTGAAAATAAATTATAATCTATTGACTCGAATAGCTACAAACACTGTAATGAATATTGTGTTCGATTTACATATAATGTAACGTCCTAATTTTCAATTTAGAGTTGTTCGATGGTAATTAAAAAAGTTTTGCATCTTATTATAATACAAATCAATTTTTTGTGATTGCAATAAATAAATTTTGAAAATTGCTTGTACGCAGTTATTTCTGAAAATCAAACTCGTTATAATTTTACAAAAAGTGTCTCGGCATGTGATAACGACACTATACATAGATGTGATCATTAGTCGATAAATACTTCAAGCTTGCTCGGTCGCGTTCGGCAGATGTCGGCTGACGAAGCGACTACTGTGTCGAGACTCCCAGCGATTTCTACTAAGATTTCCTGAGATTTCGAATGAGACTTCCCTGGATTTCTATAGATTTCAAAAATTTCTTAAACTATTTCTTTAATTCTAAATTCAGGAAATCGTGATTTCTGAAGTGAATCTCTCCTCGCCTTAATCCTTTGCGGCACAGTAATAACCCAGATTACCACCTATTTTATTTACAACTTTTCTTACTGTATTTGAAGTTTTTTAAGCAATATTCATTAATTTTTCTAAAGTGAATGAGAACATATTATTGAATGAAACGAAAATAAAAGTAACAATATTCATGTTGTGAAATTTTGTTTTATTATTATCAGTTGTACGAATTATTTTCTTTTCACTAGTGTCATTTAGAGAATGTTTAATTTTTAAATCTTGTGTTAATAGAACTCTGTTAATATTATTACTGGGAATATACACGGAGAAAATCTGAAAGCAATGAGTAGTTTTTCTCATAGCACTGGCTACTGTGTACACCAAAAAATTAAATTTCAAAACTCTGAATGTTCTCCACACAGCACTGAATGCACTGCAGAAAATAATCACAACTTTTTTTGACAGTAAACAGAGTTTCGTTTGATATTAGTTGACAACAGATTATTCAGAACTACAAATGTAGCAATAAATTCTTTGCTCGAAGTCGTGACTGCTGTTCTCACAGCTCTGAGTACTGTGCAGAATTATTTTTTAGAATTTAGAAAACAAAGGAATGTTTAACGTTAATTTAAAAGAAGATAGCCATGGTTATTTTTTCTTTTCAAATATTGATTTTAATTGACATGTTTATAAACAGTTAATGAATAATAGATATAAAGAAATGAAGACTTCAAAAAGTCTTTTTGAAAACTATCGCTTTTTTTTAATTTTTCAGTTATGTAGCAAATAAAGTTATTATACAATAATAAAATAATAAATAATTATTTTTTAAATGAATTATTATAGGCAAATTTTAAATATTTATTTGTATTTCACAAGTTTTAAGATCTTAA